GCAGAACACTGTACCTTTAATTTAAATGCCCTTGGAGTCTGCTGGGGAAGAGAAATAATACTGTCAGTCAGTATGACATGCAGATGAGTGCCGTCGATCTTAGAATCACCGCACACTTCACTCATTTGGGCAGTCACGGGGCCAAAACCAGAGTGTGGAGCCACAGTGTGGCGGTGGAGGCAGCAGCAATGGGAGGCCATACAGCACCCTATGACAAAATGGAACCCACCAGCAGTGTGAGGAGACCTGAAAGTGGCACATGGCAGAGTGTGGCGATGGAGACAGCAGCAATGGGAGGCCGTACAGGGACCCATGACACACTCTGGACCTGGCAGCAGCATGAGGAGGCGGTACAGGGGCCCATGACAGATTACGGGCCTGGCAGCAGCATGAGGAGTCAGTACGGGGGCCCATGGCAGATTACGGCCCTGGCAGCAGCATGAGGAGGCGGTACAGGGGCCCATGGCAGAGTGGCGGAGCGTAAGCAGCTATAATTGAAGGCCATACAGAGGCCTATGTTAAAAAGTCCCCCCAGCAGCAGCGTGGGGAGACGACTATCAAGAGTCCAATGGCAGAGTGGCGGAGCAGAAGCAGCTTCAATTGAAGGCCATACACAGGCCTAGGTTTAAAAGTCCCTCACAGTTAATTCCAATAACGAACTCTACTCCTCCGTGCAATCTACTTACGAGACCCTGGGCAGGTCTGGGTCCAATTTGTGGTAGAGACTGGTTTTGTTCAGCCATGCTTGAGCGAGTAATAACAGGTCTGTGCTGCCCTTTGGTGTCTGGCTTAATGCGCACAACACTGAACGTCCCAGCGTTTGTCAACGATTTGCCGTTAAGTGATACAAACCCGCTGAACCACGTTCATGAGGAGCCGGTACAGGGGGCCATGAATCAGTATGGACCTGGCAACAGCGTGAGCAGACGACAGAGACACATGGCGCAGGGTGGCAGTGGAGGCAGCATTATTCTGAAGCCATACACAGGCCTAGGTTAAAAAGCGGAAGCCGTCAGCAGTGTGAGCAGACGACAGAGACACATGGCGCAGGGTGGCGGTGGATGCAGCAGTATTCGGAAGCCAAACACAGGCCTCGGTTAAAAAGCGGAAGCCGTCAGCAGCGTGAGCAGACGACAGAGGCACATGGCGCAGGGTGGCGGTGGAGGCAGCAGCAATGGAAGGCCATACAGCACCCTATCACAAAATGGAACCCACCAACAGTGTAAGGAGACCTGAAAGTGGCACATGGCAGAGTCTGGCGATGAAGTCAGCAGCAATGGGAGGCCGTACAGGGACCCATGACACACTCTGGACCTGGCAGCAGCAAGAGGAGGCGGTACAGGGGCCCATGGCAGAGTGGCGAAGCGTAAGCAGCTTAAATTGAAGGCCATACAGAGGCCTATGTTAAAAAGTCCCCCCAGCAGCAGTGTGGGGAGACGACTATCAAGAGTCCAATGGCAGAGTGGCGGAGCAGAAGCAGCTTCAATTGAACGTACAATAGTGGTTGTGAAGCAGAAAGTCAGTTTATTGTACACAATCGGTCAATTGCAGCTTGCCGTTGGCTGGAAACTGTACGTTTGTGTCACTGGAATGCACTAATCACCCAAAAAATATTACCGCCAGCCGGCGTGTAAATGGATTTAACTCTTTGAACGTACAATAGTGGTTGTGAAGCAGAAAGTCAGTTTATTTTGCACAATCGGCAAACTGCAGCACCAACTGTGCACGACAGCCACCAAAAAAAAAAAAGGGTGTATGTCACTTTAAATTTTTGATTCTTTGATAGCTGTGGCCCTAAGTAACGATTCTGTGTCCCTGAGTAACGATTCTGTGTCCCTGAGTAACGATTCTGTGTCCCTGAGTAACGATTCTGTGGCCCTAAAGTCTCTGTGGCCCTAACTCTGTCCCTTAATACACACAGGTCTGTCTCTCTTGAATGACCGGAGGCTAATGGAGAATTCTAAGATGGCCACGATTTATAGCTCCACCATTACACAGTGCTGGCTGGCTGCTGATTGGCTAATGCGATCACATGTCATGAATGCATTATGGGTCAGCGCGCCTTGTCTGCGCGCCTTCCCAGAGATCCCCGCCCCATCTTCTCTGTCCATTTTCTCCATCGCCACACACATGTCGCCGCCATTTTTGGGAAAATTCGATTCGTGCATCCGAAGTTTGCTAATCTTCGGATTCGTCGCGAATAGAATTTTTCCAAATCTTCGGAACGAATTCCACTTCGTCATGTTCGATTCGCTCATCTCTAATCATAATGTGTAAAAAAAAAATCCTGATCACTTAGTAGTAAAATGTTAGTATGATAACACTGTATTGCTCTGGTCACAGTGTGTAAACAAACCCCGTACAAAATAGAAAAAATTTTTAATAAAAATGTTTTAAAAAATAAATAAAAATTTAAAGTTATTTTTTTTTACATACTGTCACCAGTCAGTGTCCCTGATCACAGTCACACCAATTATATGAAAACACTATACTGGACTGGTGGCAATATGTAAAAAAAAAAAATTCCAAAAAATAGTGATAAAAGAATTACAAGTTGAAAAAAGCTTGCCATGCCTCTTAGAAAATACATGAGACTGTCTATTTTCCAAAAATGGATCATTTGGGGGATATTTGTACGGTCCTGGTATTTTCGGGCCTCAGGAAATGAGATAGGCCGTCAGTACATTAGGATTGATCGATTTCCAGATAAATATACCATAGTTTGTGGATTCTATCTATAACTATAACACTATAACTTTCCTACAGACTAAATAATATATACTGATTTGGGTTATTTTCACCAAAGAAATGTAGCAGAATTACGAAGAAAAACATGTTTGTTTGTTTTTTTTAATTTGTGGTATTTTTTTGTTTGTTTAACAAAAAAATAAAAAATGATGATTAAATACCACCAAAATAAATCTCTATTTGTGAGAAAAAAATTATTAAAATTTCATATGGGTACAGTGCTGCATGACCGTGCATTAGTCATTCAAAGTAGGAAATCAGTGAAAATCAGCCTGGGCAGGAAGGGGGTAAAAGTGCGTGGCATTGAAGTGGTTAAATAGGAACTATGGTCAGGAGAAAACAAAATACTATTAGTTACCGATCCATGCTTTATTTTCCATGTTAAAGGTTTTACTTTAAAATAAAGACCTGCATATACTTACTTTAGAGTGGTTCTAAACGTACAATTTATTTCAGTGATATTAAAGGCTTGTTTAAAAAAAAAAAAAAAAAACAAACATGTAATACCTACCTGCTCTGTGCAATGGTTTTGCACAGAGCAGCCCCGATTCTCCTCTTCTCAGGTCCCCTGCTGGCTCTCCAGGCCCCTCCCTCCTGCCTAGTGTCCCTATAGCAAGTAGTTTTCTATGGGGGCACCCGAGCAAGCTCGTTCCTGAGCCACTGCTTTGTGTGTCCATTCACACATGGAGTGTGGCTCAGTCCCACCCCCGCTCTCTCTTCATTGGCTCACTGCTGCTGTCTCAGCCAATGAAGAAGGAGAGACCTGGGAGAGCCGAAGCTCTTATGCATAATGCTGGATTGAGATGGGGCTCAGGTAAGTTTTAGGGGGGTTGAGGGCACTGCTGCACACAGAAGGTTTTTTTACTTTCAAGCATAGAACGTATAAAGGTAAAAAACCTTGAGCCTTCACAAACACTTGAATGTATTTAATGCATTCTATGCATTAAGGTATAAAACCTTCTGCATGCAGCTCCCCCCTAAATACTTACCTGAGCCCAATCTCATTCCAGCACTGAGCACGAGAGCAGACCAAAAAAGGTATTTTTTTTACTTTTTAGCTATAAAATCTATCCAATAAAAAAATAAAATTTCTGCGTTATTTTAACTGACAATTGTGCGGTCATGCAACACTGTACCCAAATGAAATTTGCGTCCCTTTTTTCCCACAAATATAGCTTTCTTTCAGTAGTATTTGATCACCTGTGTCTTTTTAATTGTTTGCGCTATAAACCAAAAAAACAACAATTTTGAGAAAAAAACAATATTTTGGACTTTTTGCTATTAAACATGTCCAGTAAAAAAAAAATTAAAAATCAAATTTCGTTATAATTGTAGGCCAAAATGTATTCTGCTACTTGTCTTAGGTGGAAAAAAAATCCCAATAAGTGTATATTAATTGGTTTGCTTAAAATTTATAGTATTTACAAATGACAGTATATATACTAGAATTTTTTTCATACTAGTAATGGCGGAAATCAGTGATTTATAGCGGGACTTTGATAGTACGGCGAGCCATTCTGATACTGGCAAACACTGACATCACCAGTGACACTAATACAGTGATCAGTGCTAAAAAAATGCACTGACACTGTACTAATGACACTAAGCAGGAAGGGGTTGACATCTAGGGCAATCAAAGGGTTAACTGTGTGCCTAACCTATGTGTAATGTGTGCAATATGTGCTGTTTCACTAAGAGATGTGACCATTTTTGTCTTAGTGCTTTTCAGGGAGATAAAAACTGGCATATCCCTGTTGTCAGTAGAGAGATCTATGTTGTTTACCAACACAGATCTGTCTCCTGTCACTTGCTCTGATGATCAGTCCCGAACGTGAATCATTGATCAGGACCCACTGATCGGCATGTTAAGAAACCAGTGACACTGCGGGTAGGCATGCACGTGCGCGCGCCCCCCTACTCGGGAAAGCAGGATTACATATACAGTATATCTGCATGATTCTGCACAGCCGACACGCACTATAGCAGCAAAGCTAGATTGCATGGTCGGCAAGTGGTTAATAAAAGTTATACAATGCCTAGGAGCGGGTGGAGGGTAACAAATTGAATTTTATCCCAGCCAGTGTTCAGCTTTAAGAACAACCTAACATTTTCAGAGGTTGAGGTTCCATGTTTTAAATGGGTGGATGTGAAATTTGTTTTTTCACATGCAATACTCATCACGCCCTACTCCACCTATTCCTGATTAATGAATATATAATTGAAGGTTCCTCTCTCTCTCCTCAGGTGATGAGGTGTACATGAGCAATGAAGCAGAGAAAACAGAGTACATTATGAATCAAACCGGACTCTACTGGTTTGGAAATTCGAACAGTTACGGATCTAGAAGATGGGATTATGCACAGGTGATTGCCATTCCTAAATATTGGACAGTTTTCATAGGAAATGGCTTATAATTAGTGTGATTAGGCTGTTTACATGCACTGCACTAATGATGGCCAACAAACCTGAAGATTTTGTATTTATGTTTGGGTTGTTGTTGGAGAGTTCCACTCACTTCCTACTGAGGAAAAGTTATCAGCAGGACAAAATGAGAAGGCAAATCTCTTCAACAAAGCCCCAGGTTGCAGTAAAACCTCAACATCTAATCCTTCTTTACTCTGTCTAAAAAATAATAAAGATGTTTTGGTTGCACCTACACTTTAATATTCAAATCGAGCATTTGACAGGTAATGTGACCAGGATCTCCTCCTATCCCATAGTATTCTCTACAGTGTTTCTGCTTCTTATGAACGACACATGAAATGTAGGTGCGGCATAAACACTGTGGCGTTTTGCAAATAATGTTATCCATTCACCATTATAAATAAAGCTTTAAAACATAACCTTTTAAAGAAATTACATTTCAGAAGAATGGCCATGTACATTTGCTTTTCCCAGAGTTTTTTTTAGAGAATAGGTGCAGCAACTCACACCACCACCACCCCCCATCCCATGGAGGAGAGTAGCAATGTGATGCTTTGTGCAAACTGTGACATATGATGGGTGTTGACAACAGAATGCAGGTTTCAGAAGTACATTACACACAGAATGCAGGGTTTAAGAGTGCACTACTACAAAGTGCAGTTTTAAGGAGTGTATTATGCACAGAATGCAGAATTCAGGAGTATGCTATGTACAGAGTGCAGGGGTCAAGTAGTGCATTACACACAGTGTACATGGTTCAGGAGTGCTATACTACAGAGTGCAGGGTTCAGAAGTGTGCCGCATACAGAATGCAGGTTTTGGAAGTGTGCCGCACACAGAATGCAGGGTTTGGAAGTGTGCCGCACACAGAATGCAGGATTCGAAAGTGTACTGAACACAGAATGCAGGGTTTGGAAGTGTGCCGCACACAGAATGCAAGGTTCAGAAGTGTGCCGCACACAGAATGCAGGATTCTAAAGTGTACTGAACACAGAATGCAGGGTTCAGGATCACTCTACATAGAGAGTACAGGGTTCAAGAGTGTGCTATGCACAGGATGCAGGGTTCTGATAAATATAAAGTGAGTGCACTTCTGCACCACATCCAAAGCTCACTTCTGCACCCTTCTTCCACAACTTATCTTTGCCCCCCAACCCTTCCTTCTCAACAGCTAAGATGTGCAGCCATCCTCTTCAGCCTTGACCTCAACATCTCCACAGCCCTCGCCTTTGCACACACAAAACCATCATCATCTGCTCACCTCTCAGCAGCCACCTTGTCTTCTTTTCCCACACAATGCACTTGAGTGCACACTCATTTGCAGCTCCGTGGCTCCCCCAGTAGCCAGCAGCAACAGCGAGATCATCCAGCAGGGGGCGTTGGCATCAGGGCACCAGGCTGCAGTGCAGTAGGAGATGCCCTCCCTGCAGCCCACAATGCATTCTGGCAGCTGTCCCCTGAGTGCAGGGCAGGGAGGGTTCTATGGGATCTGCCATGAGAGGTGTGTTGTCACTTGTAACACAGAAGCCAGGCTAGTAACAGCAAATAGCGATGTGCATAGGGCCATTGCCGGAGGTGGCGGCATTCTGCCTCGTTCCGCCTGAAAAATCCCTGGGAATTCCCACAATTTATAAGAAAGTAAATTAGAATGACCTCTGTATAATCAGTGTCCATCATTTATTGGTCACTCATTACAATATGTCCATGGCTAGGCCTCTGTCAGTTGACCACTTTTATTATCGTGTCCTTTATGACAACAGATCTTAGTGGTCACACTCTTTAATTAACCAAATTAACTCAAATATTTGAATTTTAAAGTGGATCTAAGCCCAGTTACTAAAATCTCATATAACCTTTAACAAGGTAATGTAATTCCTAAAGTTCACCTTTCATACCATGTAACACCCATATTCAGAGTGTAACGTGTTACGAAAGGACAGCCTCCCCGCTCCCCCCGATCCCCAGTTGTGACAGCTAGCGTGGGATCTTCTCCCCTGCTAGTTCTTACAATTTTTTAAAAATGCGTCCGTGTGGGGCTCCTCCCGCCTGGCCACATCACTCATTCACAATTATTATTATACAGTATTTATATAGCGCTAAAAGGTTTGCTCAGCGCTGTACATTATAGTGGGGGACAGAACATGAGACAATACAGTAACAAAACAAAACACGAGGGGGTCAAGGGCCAATATTCTGTAAATGGGAAAACAATATTCTGTAAAAGGAAAGCCTTTGTGGCTTCTGGCTTGTAGTACTTAATCTACCATGATTAAGTGCGCTGTGGTATTTCACTGATTCTTCCTGTCAGTGTGTATCTGCCTGCCTGTTCGAGGTATGTGCAGACAGATACACTTACAGGTCTGCAGGAGTCCTGCATATCAGCAGCAATCTGCTGGGCCCTGGTACAATGCTTTCCAGGCTCCCAAAACCAAAAAATAGTAAAGGCACATATTTTTACCTGCAAAAATGTGCATTTATTAGTTTTTATTAAATGGTGAACTTATCCTTTAAGTAATACCTGGTGATCCTGTAATGTTTCTCTGGTGGTGACTACAAGCAGCTGTGCTGACACACATAGTGCAGTCTTGATCCACCGTTGTCACTATCGGGAAACTACTTCTGAGCAATATAAATAAATATGTAGATTTCCCTGATGTGGGTATCAAGGGGATTGATTATTATGTACTTCTGAGCAATGATGTTCAGCCAATCATGGAGCAAGTGTATATAGGCAGAAAGTGGCTAAAAGAGGCTGCACCGCATACTAGCACATTATGAATGACAGCATCCTCACCCAATCTTCCTTCTGGAATAACAGGCTTCGACTGTGACCGGTTGAGCCGCAATGTACATCACTCCCGCGCATGTGTGTGGGAGTCAACAATCAGGGCACTGCACTCTGGCCTGATGGCACAGTGTGCCTTCAATTCAGAGTGCAGTGCACATGTGGCAGTGATGTCACCGGCTGCTACAGATGTGACTATCTCCTAAATGGTGCACATTTAGGAAATAGTCACTGTACCTATAGCTTTATTATTGGCTTTCCTGTAGATACAAGTTAAAATTTACTACTGCTTTAAGAGTTGAGAGCTAATTTAAAATTTATATGTGAAAGAAGTGTGAAAAGACAGTGAAGCATGGTGCAGTTCTCATCCTCACTAAGACTAGCTCTATATTGTTTTTTGTTCCCAAATATTCCACATTTTTGAGTATATACTATACAGTACTGTGTATGCTTTGATTTATGACATAACTGTTTCAGTCATGACTTTTATTGAGATATATATATATAAATGTTATGTTTCAATCCCCATCACACAGTTTGAAAGAGAAATTTTGAACATCACCCTCACCATGCTCGACAAGAGTCTAGACTACAAGAGGGACCCAGCCACAGATGTGTCTCGCAGAAATGATCCCATTTACGTGGGAAGAGTACTAAGTGCTATGGTAGGTAAAATACATTTAACTTGCCATAATTCAAAAAGAGTTTACTTTGAAAAACTTGACCAAGTAATTTGAATATATTCTATAGGTGAACAGCAATAATGACAATGGAGTCATTATTGGGGACTGGAGCGGAGACTATAGTGGTGGAGTGAGCCCAACAACATGGAACGGAAGTGCTGCTATTCTCCGCCAGTGGATGGAGAAAGGACCGGTCAGATATGGGCAGTGTTGGGTGTATGCAGGAGTACTTTGTACAGGTGCAGCTTTTCAAAATTATTATAGCTAACAGTATAATCCTTTTGAATAGAACTTTGGTGGGAAGGGTTGAGATATGAGGCATCAACTTCCTGAGATGAGAACGTGGGACCCCTCTTAACCCTTTGAGGACCGTAAGATTTTGGAACGCCAAAAGAATCAATTTTTTTGCTTTTAAAGTTCGTACACTTCAGTTGCTGTAACTAAGCCATTTCATGAAATAATTGGCAAAAAGCTAGATCCATTTGTTGTTTGTTGATAAGAACTAAAATTTTGACTCAAACCAAAAAAAAAAAAAAGAGTTTAAGTTCTTAATCAGATTATACACGCAATTAAAAACATGGGACAAATACATCCCTTGGTCCTCAAAGGGTTAACACAAACTATTTAGCACAAAAGGCACACCCTGCTATGCCTCCATGTAAAATGAATATGCAAGTGATTAAGTAAATCCTCATGTGCTTTTTTTCACCACTTTTTGCTATATAGGCTTTTCAAAATAACAAATGCAACTATTTGAAGGTCAGATAAAAGGTTTAGTACAGTATAACACATTTGATTGTTAAATATACATTTTATAGAAGTCTATATATCAGACCAAAAGTGGAAATCTCCCTCGCCGGCTATGGGACATGGAAAGCAATAAAGCAATGGGACATGGAAAGCAATGAAATCTTTCTCAGACTACTAAAAATGTGTCTTCTCTTTATCACACCCATCAAATACACACAAATTGAAAATTTGGCTGATCTGACAACAGCTTCAAAGGAGACAACTGATTCATAGCTGCATCTTGTCTTGGCTGTGACCACTTTCCAAAGACAAGTAGAAGCAAGAGGAATGCAGGGATGGTGGGGGGTAATGTGTCAGGCTCTGCATTCCTCTTGCCACTGCTTGTCTGTGGAACGTGCTCACAGCTAAGCTAAGCTGCATTTATGAATCAGCCATCTACTTTCAAGCTGTTTTCAGATCAGCCACAGTGTTTGGGACAGATTGCAAAAATGCAGTTAAAGAATGCTACTTTGACTAGCAGGGTATATGGCTGTAAGAAAAATATTATGATAGATCTTCTTCAAGATTTTACTTCCTGAGTCATCTAACACCCATCACAATAAGATTAAGGGTAAATCACACAAATGAAGGCACTGAAAGCAATAAAGAGTCAACAGAGGGTTTCACCCTTCTACAAAACATAAGGCCCAACTTCAACTAAAAAAAAAAAATAAAAGCTCCAGCACATCAGGAAAAGAAAGAAGAGTGTCATTATTTTGAGAAAAATTGTGTAAAAATTGGTTTCTTTTGTAAAAATTGTGTCTGAGTGGTTCCTTCCACTAATCCCTACATTACTAAGGGCTCGTTTACATTAGTGGTTGGGGGACGATAAAACCACAGGGTTTTTTACCTCCCCCATAACCGCTCCCTCTTTAGCTGCAAAAGCTTTGCGTCCACTGCAGGAATTTTGCCCACATCACATTTGAAGGGCATTACCACACGCTGAACATGACACATACAAGAAAATGGGGCTGAACTGTATCTGCTCCGCAACCCTGTGCCATGCACACAATTGCAAGGCAGTGGTGCATATTTAGGGGGTTAAAACCAGCTGTCAAATGCCTCTAAAAAGTGATTAAAGTGTTGATCATTTTTCATAGGAGAGGCAGACCTTACCACTAGTGTAAACGTGCACTTAAGGACTCTGCAGTGACCTAATGGTTGGAGGAGGCAATCACAGAACCTGGCAGGGGACACAGGCATCACCACCAACTCCCAGAAGTTTTGAATGACAGAGATTGTCTGCAGAGCTGTAAAGGGAGAAGGTAGGAGATTTGGGCCACTGGAGAAGTGAGCATAATGCCTTATTTCTTAAGTGACCTGATTTAAATAGACAGGATGGAATTCAACCCAAAACTGTGCAAAACAAATTTGAAATACAATTTATTTTGGTTGACCAGCCATAATCAACATAAAGTCATAAAAAAAATATATATTTATAACATACAGGATTAGTGTTATATAAATATTCTTCCATTGCAATCTATGAAAAAAGTTCTAAAATGGGCATTTAAAGTATATGACATGAATATACGATGAATCGTTTTAAAATACTATTTTTTCTTTTGTTGCCCAGTACTCAGGAGTTTGGGGATACCAGCCCGTGTAATCATAAATTTCCAGTCAGCTCATGACACTGATGGAAATCTCTTTGTTGATGAAGTCTTTAATGAAGATGGTTCAATGGATGAATATGAGACTTCGGACAGCGTTTGGTAAGTGTGTCAGGTGCACCAATTTAAACAAAAAAAAAACCTGTTGTTGGACTATTAGAGAGACTTAAAATAAATGTTAGAATCTATGTCAGGTTTTTATTGCTGTCTAGAGGGAGATTTCCTCTCTCTTCTTGTCGCAGAAATATAACAGGAAGTGAGTAAAAATCTCCCCAAATGAGGAGAATTCCATCCTTCACTGCTGTCACCATAAGAAGATCTCATTTTACTGCTTCAGTGACTACTACAAAAATGTCAATTTCCTATCATGGTATGTCCTAGCAACAACAAAAAATATTGGTGAACCCCAACAGAGACCAAAACAGCAATGAAAACCTGAGATTTCTAAACTTCCCTACTAAATTCAAAACTAGAAAAAAATGTTTTGGCTGGAGATGTACAGAAAAGCATCTCAGAATTCACAGCACATTGAACCTTCAGGCATATGGGCTACCACAACAGAAGACCACATTGGGTTCCACTCACAGCAAGCTGAGTCTGCGGTGGGTACAGGCTCACTAAAACTGAACAACTGAAACCTGGGAATATGCAGCCTGGACTGATGAATCTTAATTTTTGGTAAGGCATATTGATGGTAGGCCAGTCACTGGATTTGAATCCAATAGAACACCTTTACGGTGTGGAAAAAATGGGGACAGTTGTAGCAGGAATGTGCAGCTTTTAAACCTGCAGACATTTTGTGATGCAATCCTGTCAATAAGAACCAGAATCCTGGAGGCTCTAGTATTAATATAGTATTCTAGAAAAAAATCTTGGTGAGTATATATATATATATATATATATATATATATATATATATATATATGCACAATATACAGGCCTAAAAATTTCCACTCGCCAAATGTGAGCAGTTGAGTGGAAATTAAATATTAACAAATTTAAATAATGTGGGGGGGAGTGTGTCCCAGGCACCGCATTGGGGGGGTGTGGGCGCTGCCAGCAGCACCAAGAAAGAATATGGGGAGCAGGAGCCAATTTCACCTTCCAGCCTCCTTCCCCTGTCATTCTCCTAGAGCAGAAGGCAGCAAAGCACTCTGTACAGTGCTGGTGTTCCTGTTGAAGAGATTTCCCCTCACTTCCTGTTCAGTCTGACATCCATTGGCTGGACAGAAAATCTCCTCTGTGGAGACACAAACAGCAATAAAACTGGACCAAGATTTTAACTCTTCTCTCCACTCTGCTAGAAAATGTATTACTGGAGCTCGTGTTGATTGAAAGGTTTTCCTTCACTTGATTAAAATGTTTTCCCTAACTTTCTGTTCGGTCTGACACCAGACAAGAAGTAAAAAGCAATCTTACAAACACAGACCCTATTAAATAAACATATATATAAGATGCAGCGCGTAAAGCATATAAAGTGAAATTGTGTCAAAAAGGTATAAATATACGTACATATATATCAGTGCAACCAATAAGGTATTAAACAAAAAGTCCTTGCAGTATAAATCTGTATATCAGTGATTTGATACTATCAATCTTGTTCGGTTCCACACAGTGCTCTGGAGTCCAGTGTGCAATCCACCACCACTATACACTCACCAGAGGGCTACTTGTTAGGTAGCAAATATAACAAGAGATCTCTGTTATCCATTCTCCGACATCTGTTGGTTCAGTAACATCCTAAAATCATGGTCCAAGATAGCTGCCGTTCCCGGAGCATGGAACGGGCGGCATGACGTCATGCTGCCGGGTCCATGCTTCGAAACGGAGGCCATCTTGGTATGTGGCATATTTAATGTTTTATTGTTTTCCACGTGGAATGCTTTTATGCATAATTTTAAATAAATATACGCTGTTTTCTTGGCTTTGTGTGGTGAGCATTTCCTTTTAGGATGTAACTGGACCAACAGATGTCAGAGAGTGGATAACACAGATCTCTTGTTATATTTACTACCTAACAAGTAGCCCTCTGGTGAGTGCATAGTGGTGGTGGATTGCACACTGGACTCCAGAGCACTGTGTGGAACCGAACAAGATTAATAGTTTAAAATCACTGATATACAGATTTATACTGGAAGGACTTTTTGTTTAATACCTTATTGGTTGCACTGATATATATATATATATATATATATATATATATATATATTTATACCTTTGTGACACAATTTCACTTTATATGCTTTATGTGCTGCACCCTATATATATGTTTGTTTATTGAGTTTGCTGTCGCTATCTCTGGTGCTAGCTGCTCCTACTTGTATAGCGCTCGCCGTTTGCATTTTGAGACACTATTAAATACTTGATGAGGTTCTTGACCTTTCCCCATTCTATTCAAAACTAATGGACATTTTTTTGCTGGGGTTGGGCTGTCATTTTTCTGGATATCTTTGTTGGCATGGATGATTGGCCTAATAACTTCTTTGTATTTTTAATGAAACCATTTACCATAAAAAACTTAAACACAACATATCAGTTTCCAAGAACACACCTAAAAGTAAATCATATTGCAGAATCATTTAAGAATTACTTATGTTACTAGCTGGCAAATATCATATGCAAATTGTCTGTTGAATGCCAATATTTTCAAACATAGACATTATTATTATTATTATACAGCATTTATATAGCGCCAACAGTGTGCTCAGCGCTTTACAATATAACGGGAGATGATACAGCAACAATACAGTTCAATACAAGAGGGATTTGAGGGCCCTGCTCCTTGGAGCTTACAATCTAGAAGGGAGGGGCTAGTGGTACAAAAGGTAGTAACTGTGGGGGATGGACTGGTTGGAAGAGTAGAAGATTCCAGTATTAGCTGAGGGCAGGATAGGCTTCCCTGAAGAGATAGGTTTGCAGAGATCGCCTAAAAGTGAGCAGAGTAGGCGAAAGTCTGATAAATTGGGGTAGAGAGTTCCAGAGGATGGAGAAGTCCTGGAGATGGGCATGGGAGGAGGAGACATTAGGGATGAGCATGGATAAATGTTTACATTTCTGATCTGTGAAATGTAAATTGTTGAGATCCAAGACAATTTTAGTTTAAAATAAATATTACATGTATTCTGCCAGTACTAACCTTCTGAAAAATGCCAGATGTCTGGTTGTCTCTGGTTCAGTACATTCAGAGTCACTAAACCTAAAGAAGTAAGCAGTCAGAGCATTTAACCGCTTCTGTGCCACCCTATAGCAGAAATACTGCTACAGGGTGGCACGGGTGCTCAAAATCACGTATATATACGTGAGTTTGCAGTTCCGGGTAGAGGGCATGCACGCGTCCTACCCACACCACCATTCGCGGCCTCGGCTATCAATCACCGAGTCCCAGCCGGTGATCGCCGGGTATCTCCGACGGGGGAGAGACCTGTCTATAAACAGCACAGTTTCTCCCCTGTTTTCTCCTGCATCTGCTTTGTATGGCTCTACATAGCAGAGCCATACAAAGCAGTGTACTTAGAGTGAAAAGCACACACACAGCACACTGTGAAACAGCACACAGTTAACCCTTTGATCGCCCCACATGTTAACCCCTTTCTGCCCAGTGCCATTAGTACAGTGTCAGTGCTTTTTATTAGCACTGATCAATGTATTGGTGTCACTGGGGATGTCAGTGACACCACGTTAGTTACCCCCAGTGTCAGAATGCTCAACGCAGTCTCGCAGTCCAGCTATAAGTCGTTGATTGCCACCATTACTAGTAAAAAAATTTTAAAAATCCAGTATATATACTGCCATTTGTATAACTTTCACATAAACAAATTAATTTACACGTATTGGGATGTATTTTTAGCAAAGACATGGAGCAGAATACATTTTGGTCTAAATGTATGATGAAATTCGATTTTTTTAACATTTGGACATGTTTAATAGCAAAAAGTCAAAAATATTGTTTTTTTCTTCTCAAAATTGTCAGTCTTATTTAATTTATAGCGCAAAAAAAAAAAACAGGTGATCAAATACCACCGAAAGAAAGCTGTATATGTGGGAAAAAGGACACAAATGTAATTTAGGTGCAGCGTTGCATGACCGCACAATTGTCAGTTAAAATAACGCAGCGCCGTATTGGAAAAAATGGCCTGGTCAGGAAGGGGAGTAAATCCTCAGGAGGGCAAGTGGTTAATATGCATGGAGGTTTCTGGTTAGTAACAAGTATTGAAGCCCTCGGACAAGCATAACAGCCGGATAACCAGAAATTTCAGTATGACACCCCTTGTCTAAACAAATAAATGACACATAAATATAGCAGTCTGTCACTAGCATTAACACAACAGTTTTTGTTTCATTAACTAACAAAATCTTGCTTGCTTACTGTACACTGCACTCTTATCAGTACAAATAGAAGGATGACGCTCTGCAATGGGGACACGGATAGCAATAAAAACGTGACATAGGGTCTAACCCCTCCCTGATCTTTTGAAAGTTACGTTTTTGCCTAGACATAAACAATTTTCTTTCTTTTATTTTATCCATAAACCTTCCTATTTTAGGTCTAATTATAGACATATGTACTATTAGGCAAGAGGCTGAATAGACATTTTATTATTTCAGGTACTTATATAGCGCCATCAATTTACACAGCGCTTTACATACATATATATTGTACATTCACATCAGTCCCTAACCCTCAAGGGGCATACAATCTAAAGTCCCTAACTTACATTCATACATACACATACTAGGGTGAATTTAGAAAGGAACCAATTAACCTACCAGCATGTTTTTGGAGGGTGGGAAGAAACTGGAGTACCCAGAGGATACCCACACAGTCATAGAGAGAACATGCAAACTTCATGCAGGTGATGCTGTGGTTGGGATTCAAACCAATGACCCTAGTACTGCCAGGTGGAAGTGCTAACCATTTAGCCACTGTGCTGCATACAGTATGTAGGAGCAGTTTTACATGTCAACAAGAATCAGAAACTAAGATTGATGAGTGACCACCAGGCACTGCATCTCTCAATTAAAATAAAAAAAGGTTTCTTTACCAGGATGGGACTTTTAAGGTGCCATGAATAAAATCAAGGATTTAGATAAAACATACGTTATTCCAACATATCGCACTGATAAAATCCATCACTGTATAGGGAGTTATTGATGGTCATCACCAACACAACTTATTTAAGGGATGGGATACCACAGTGCAAGGTACAACTCTTGTATAGACACATTGCATTACAATAGATCTTGTGAGTATATTCACTTATATACATTTTTCATAATTGTTGAGCTGATATATTACTCTATATATTTCCTTCTCCCCCTGTGGTCTACCAATGACCACTCTGGGTTTTAGTGGCAGGCACCTTTGGTTTGCAGTCATTGGCACTTTATAGGATCACTTGGACGGGTGTAACATGTGATCACAACACAAATATATTTGACGAGAAAAGATTGTAAAATATACAGTATGTGTTTACCTTGAAGTTTGTTGTCTGCATATTAGATCTTTACCAAGCAGTACATCATCCTGATGGAGCTTATTGCAAAAGATGTTGAAGAACTACAGACCATCTGTACTGAATATTCATTATCTGTAACCCTCTTTTGTAATGTGGTGTCTATACAATAGTTGTACCTTGTGGTATGGCATCCCTTAAATAAGATGGGTTTGTGAGGACCGTCATTTACTCTCTCTACAGTGTTTGTTTGTTTTTTTTTTGCTAAATCCTTGTTTTTATTCATATTGGGGCAGCACAGCGGCTAAGTGGTTAGCACTTCTTCTAAAAGCACTAGGGTTGTCAGTTCAAATCCCAACCATGGCACTACCTGCCTAGAGTTGCATGTTCACCCTGTGCCTGCGTTGGTTTCCTCCAACACTCCAAAGACATGCTGGTAGGTTCATTGGCTCCTGTCTAAACTGGTCTTAATATGCGTATGTATGAATGTGAGTTAGGGACCTTAGATTGTAAACTACTTGACGGCAGGGACTGATGTGAATGTACAATATATGTAAAGTGTTGCATAAATTGATGGTGCTATAAAAGTACCTGTAATAAATAAATATGCAAATCTTCTTCTATTTTATACCAACAAGGAGAATGTGACTATTTCCTAATTACTACAGTAGGTGTTCAGGCACTCCATTGAACATGTGAGACCATTGGAGTCCCTGAGAGATTTCGATAAGAAATTGTCAATTACTTTTACTTTCCAGCATCTACCAAAATTGTAATAAACATTTTTTGCATGGACGAAAAAACTATTATTTGAGGGCCCATTTAAAATATTGTGTAATTCAGCAGGGTCCATTTTTATTCTAGCAATGATTTATATGTTTTTCTATTCCTAGGAACTTCCATGCATGGAATGAAGCCTATTTTGCTAGAAAAGATCTTGGGGCCCTTTATGGTGGATGGCAAGTACTTGATGCAACTCCACAGGAACTCAGCCAGGGTAAGTGACTGAGGTTAAAAAGATGTACCCTGGATATATACACATAAAGGCTATTTCTATTCATTACGATAGATAGATAGATAGATAGATAGATAGATAGATAGATAGATAGATAGATAGATAGATTTGGTGGACAATAGCATTTACTTATGTATTCTTTTTGATCCTTTTGAAGTTAGGCAAGAACAGATCAGCAGGGCTACCTTGTCTATTTATCATCCTGGTTCATCACCAAAAAATACTCTGCAGAAAAATTTAAAAAATATAATTACCTTATATCCTGAACTGCATACTGAAGAGGGTGAGGTCACAGCCCTTCAAGTCATGAAATCTTTCCAAAAGACACTCCTGTGCTGTGTAGGAGAATTGGTAACCTCAACTGTCCTAGGAAGTCACCCGAAGCAATGTTATATCATACAGAAGCCAAGTGTAAAGCAGGCCATACATTATTCATTTTTTTTTTCATTCAACCGGCGGATTGAACAAAAAAAAAAAAGAAAAGACCCGATTTCCCAATTTACACATTATATGTGGATGGGGGAATCCTCCCACTGAGCTAATATATTCTGCAAGCAGGGAACCTTCACTGTCATCAGAATACACTGATCAGTGCTGCCTAGATGGCACTTCACAGCTGCACTGATCATTCTGAGAATCCCGACAGGCTGGCAAAAACCAGACAATCTGGTTGTACTGAAATCGATGAGTAGATGACTTCTGTACAACCAGCCTGACCATACATGGATCAAAATTCAACCAGTTCCTGTTGAACCAGCTGAATTTGGATCCACGTATGTTCACCTTAAGGTAATTCATTTTTTCAAACTTTTCTCCTCAGTTTGTTTTTGGTTTTACATCTATAATTGAACGTGCATGGCCCTCTTGTTCTTCCGGTATTGAATTGTATTGTAACTATACTGGCTGCCCTTATGATGTAAAGGGCTGAGCAAACTGTTGGCACTATATAAACCCTGTATAATACTAATAATAATAATAATAACATAATGCTGCAACTGTAAATGGAGTAGGCTTGATATAATAAGCATACCTTTTGGTGTAAGGACTCTAGACCTCGTTCCATGATATAGGAGAAACTTGACTGGGGAGTTTCTTCCTTATTATTTTTAAATAAAACAAAAATACATTGGAGGTGTTTCTTGGACTCATGCTCAGCAGACCAAGACTTAGGCATAAGGGTCCCTTGCTTATGTTCCAAAAGTGGCACATTTTGTATAGTTAGTATCGAATATCCGCTAGCCCATCAACACAATAGAGTAGGGCTACATAAGCTGGAATTGCTGGAGGACAGAGGGATCTGTTAGGATAGATCCAGGATCCTGAGACATACCCTGAGGCTAGACAGCTAAGGTCTGGCAAATGCACATTTCTTTCTAGCAGGTTGCAGGGTTGGAACTACAAGAAAGAATAAGGCCTTAGAAAGGGCTACTAACCTTTTATTCACTGGGTACTTAAACGATGGGAAGTTCGCAATAGAGACAGAAGTCTTATTAACAGGAAATAGTTGGGTCCACAACGAAACTAGACCTTGTCATAGGATATTGGAGGATTACATTGGAAATGTCTTCATAAGTTATAGGCTCTTTTGAGAACCCAAGCTGGTCACTCTAGGTGTATCCAATGTAGGCAGCTCCCAATCTAGGCATGTGCAGACTGTATCAATAAGGACCAAGATGGTAATCTTAAAGCAGAACTGCACCCAAAATGGGAATTTACAATTTAAGGCCTCCTCCCCCATCCTCTTTCACATTTGGCAATCTTTTTGAGGGGGGGAAGCAGGTACCTAATTTTGACAGGTACCTGCTCCCGCTTCTGCTGGACTGGACTGGAGCTCCACTTTAAGTTTTAGACTAATGTTAGCGGACTGCAACTCTTTGTGTCCTCAAATAACGTACAATCTCTCTCATCCTCAGCTGATTGTACAGAAGCAACTGCAGCTTCAGGGAATTGAGAGATATACTGTAGCATAGAGGGTGTAGCAGGGGCCTGGGGTCAGTAGGGGGCCCCATGAAATGCCCCTGGTACCTTTTATAGGCTTTTTTTTGAGTGTGGGCAAGGACACAGGGGCCCCATGATCCCCTATTGCCCGGGGGCCCCATGAGTTGTCAGTCCGTCCCTGGGGTGTAGTAGCCTGCTTGCAGCCCCTGCATTCTGAGTAAGCTATTGTAGTTGAATATTTGCCCATAAACACAGACATCATAGCTGAGGATTCATCCCTATACAATATTGAGGAAGGGTTAACCTCTTAAGGGGAGAAGGAAGACTCAGGAGGTGCTGCAATTCAGGAAGGGGACAGTGATCTGGGCTGTCAGAATCAAGTCCTTTAGAAGGTAGACTGCAAGCCCCAATTCTCCCCACGAAACTGTAAGAGGATTGCATGCTGGCAAAGCTCATGGGACTGCTGGTCTTGCAATTGTGATCTGCCATGCTAAGCATGCAAGTTAAGTATTGCTACAAGGGGCACTCATGACAATATTGCAGAAGCAGGAAAGTCTAATACCATCTGTGATTCATCACTGGAAGTAGCAAAGAAGCCCAAATACCATCCAAATGATCGGGGCAGCAGGATTGGCTGTCATGGTCCAATCACACTCTGGAATTGGTGTTCAGATGCACAGTTTGACCCTCAGGCTGGAGGTCATGTAAACATAAAAGGGGTGCCCAGCATAATAATGGCAATTTAAACAAATGGTGCAATGCCCAATCAAGAAGCTGGTTTGAGACCGAAGTTGTCACATCCATCACTAGACCTAAAAAGAAATCTGGTGAAGAGCTCCTCTCGTGCCACTGACCAGCAAATGAAAGTTTTGCAGCTGGTACTATCAACTAAATTAAATTTGTTGCAACAAAGTCAATCCCTGAGAGGGCTCAGCAAGCAAGCAGATCACACTGAGGTTCCCATAAGAGAAAAGTCCTGATTTCCCATTTGTGGAGACCATCCCCACTTAAACAGTCTTTGTCCCCTAGGGCAGATATACTCCCTATTGAGGTCTTTAGGGATAGACTTCCATCAGGAGGTGCAGCAAAGCCCTGAGCCTATAAGGCACTCTCCGGCTGACTCAACATGTTGCAGCATAGGTACCTCGGCACCTAATGCAGGCTGGCCCAGCTTCTTCTCAGCACGGTTCGGAAATGGCTTCCATGGCAATGACAAGAATCAGCTGATCTGGAAAGCTTCAAAATGAGCCCTTTCTGGGTCTGCAACAACTATAGAAGCTTGCTAGTGAAAAAAAAAATCTTGATACAAAATAAGTAAAGATTTTTCTTCCCTCGGAGCAGAGATGTTCATTCATCTAGGACTTTAGCATAAGGTCAAAGCATGCCGGGAGTGTGAAAGGTTATCCTGGGCTGTCTTTACAACTTTTTTTGTTCAATCTCCTGAAGGTATTGTGACTGAATCACTTCATCCTGTGTCCTGTCAAGTAAGATTAAGAAAAAAAAAAACTTCTTTATGAAGTAGTACATTCCATAATGTTTAACACCTATCTAGTCACAGATCTAATCATGTTATACTGACAAACAATATATGATTGTGTTTTCATACAGGTATATACCGATTAGGACCAACCTCATTGTACGCTGTGAAGGAAGGAGAGGTAGACAAACCTTATGATGCAATATTTGTGTTTGGTGAAGTGAATTGCGACAGAGAGTAACCTGGGTAAAAGATAAAGATGGAACCAGGAAAAAGATTTACACTGATACTAGAGGCGTGGGGAAGCTCACCAGCACCAAAGCAGTTGGTGTCTTTGAACGCAGAGATGTAACCTCGAACTACAAATACGATGAAGGTATCTTTTACTTCGATATGACTCATTTAATGACAGCATAATGTGTTCAAATCTTGCTTGAAGCTGATGAAATATATACTGCGCTAGTCATATGATGAGAGGAAACAAGCAGCACAAGGGATACCTATAATGGGTTAAGGGGGTCTAGAACTCCAATAACATGGCAAACTTTGAGCTGGCTGCTTATATATACAGGAGTTAGACACAAAATGGAAACACTACATGATTTGCAGGTGTGAAAGTGACCACATGTTTCATGTAACATTCTTTTGATTCCGCTTTCAATGTGAAACATGTCGTCACTTTCACACCTGCAAATCATGTAGTGTTTCCATTTTTTTTTTGTCTAAGCCCTGTATATACTGTTGGATGGAAATGGACCACCTGTCTATTTCCATCCAACTGTCATCCAATCTGATCAGCCAGATGAATGGGGAATGGATCCCCATCCGTTTGCTTTTGGCGGACAGGATCGGATCGGATGCAGGCAGGTGTAAACAGACAACCGCCGCTCCACTGAGAGCAATGAAGAGTCCAATCAATCTGTTCATGTGAAAGGGGCCTTAGTGGTGCAAGACCCTTCTGTTTCACAAAAGATCTTTATTGGGTTTTTGAAATAGTAATTATGATGTACAGTTGCACAGGACATAGGTATACAAATACACCAAACAAAAGATTTTGTAAAAATTACCCAACATCAATACCAAATTAAAAACACAGGCAATTTAAAAAACACATCTCCAAAGGATTGGCATTAGTGCAAGTAGCGGGAAACTGGAAGACCCCTTTTACACAAGCAGACCGTTGGTCCATTTTTTATCCATCTGTTAATGGATGAAAAACAGATATTAATGCATCTCTATAAAAAACTGATGTAAACAGATAATTATCCATTTACATCCGCATTCATCAACATCCATTATTTTAAATGGATCACAGCCCTATTTTTGTTCCATTTAAAAAAACAGAAAAGAGGAAAAACGGAAGTAAAATGGACAAACAGTTCATTTTTTCATCTGTTTTTCCATTGGTAGTGGGTGTAAAAAACTGATATAAAATGTGTCCGTTTTCCTTGAATACACGTGACTAAACTGATAAAATGAACAGTCCACATGTATGAAAGGAGTCTAAAGAAAAAAAATCCCATGGGGATTCCTCATTGACAAAGTTGTTAGTGCCCCCAAAAGGATGGGAAGAGGTGAATAAATTTGCTCATGACTCAGAATAAATAAAAACAGTGAAGTAGAAAAGAAGAAGGGAAGAGGATAGGAACAAGCACAGAGGAAAAAAATTGGACATGGGAAAGAAAGAAGAGAGAAAGGGGGGACAAAGGTACAGTTTCCTTGAGGCCTGCATTCATGGAAATGATTGTGTCTGATCCCACCAAAAGTAAGGAGCGGTTGAAGTTCAAGTAATCATTATAGGCCAACCTCAGACCCCAAACTTTGAGAAATTTAGTGTGGTTGTCAGTAAGTAAGGAAGTGAGCTTCTCATGTGTCTTAGTCCCTATGAACCTCTGTTTAATTTCAGCAAAATTAAGTGATGGTCATCACCAAGCTTTAGCTAGTGTCTGCTGGGCTGCCAGGAACACAAACCCCACCAGCTTTCTCTCATTTCTATTAAGGGCTGGGATGGTCCTATGTAATAGGGCATCCCATAGATTATGAGTAAGATTTAGCCCTGGTTCACATCTGTACATCATGTGATTTGCACGGGCACGAGAACCCATTCATTTCAATGGGGGCAGAGGCAAGCTGTGGCCAGGGAGTGCAGAGCTGAGCTGTGGCCGGGGGGTGCAGAGCTGAGCTGTGGCCGGGGGGTGCAGAGCTGGACTGTGACCAGGGGGTGCAGAGCTGAGCTGCGGCCAAGGGGTGCAGAGCTGGGCTGTGGCCGGGGGGTGCAGAGCTGAGCTGTGGCCATGGGGTGCAGAGCTGAACTGTGGTCAGGGGGTGCAAAGCTGAGCTGCGGCAGGGGGGTGCAGAGCTGAGCTGCGGCCGAGGGGTGCAGAGCTGAGCTGCGGCCGGGGGGTGCAGAGCTGAGCTGCGGCCGGGGGGGTGCAGAGCTGAGCTGCGGCCAAGGGGTGCAGAGCTGAGCTGCGGCCAAGGGGTGCAGAGCTGAGCTGCGGCCGGGGGGTGCAGAGCTGAGCTGCGACTGGGGGGTGCAGAGCTGAGCTGTGACTGGGGGGTGCAGAGCTGAGCTGTGGCTGGGGGTGCAGAGCTGAGCTGCGGACAGGGGGTGCAGAGCTGAGCTGCGGACAGGGGGTGCAGAGCTGAGCTGTGGCCAGGGGGTGCAGAGGTGGGTTGCAACTCAGCTTAACTCTGCACCACCCCCCCAGCTTTATACTTTAGCAATGCCCAAAAATAGTACTAGGTCTTATTTTCAGGGAAACAGAGTACTGTAGCTGCTGACTGTTAATATAAGGACACTTACTTGTTCAGGGATACAGCTCTGTATTCACCCAAGCCAATTCTTCAATGGGCTTCGAGTCCAGGTGATGGCATCTTAATTAAAGCATAAGGGCTGTGAACCTGCAGCTTCACAGCCAGCTTTCCATTGCGTATGCACAAAGCACGCTGCGCTTTATGAATGGTCCCCCAGTCTTCTGGGACCTATGGTGTGTCCTAGAAGGCTGCAGGCAAGGGGGGGGGGGGGTGAACTTAGGCTTGGATCACTTAGGCAATCGAGGTGGAAGTGTGTATTTGTCAAAAACAAGTATCCACTCCAGCCCCGCCCAAAAAAAGTGGGTTAAAGAGGAAGGTGGGGAGGGGCAAACAAGCTGAACTTCCCCTTTTGCATGAAGTTCTGTTTTAAACTTAATGAATGAGAACCCCTAAAAAAATGGCTGCAGCCAGCCAAGCAATGTAAGTGCAGAGGTCCCACTGGTCTTTTCTTGGAACCTGTGCCACAATGTCTCCATATTACTATATGTAGGGACCTCAATTAATACCCCGCCTTGACTTTTTTAAACTTTTGGATAGTGTGTTAAAGGGTTAGAACCTCTGTTCCCAGGTTGGGGAGATCTCTCCTCATTTTCTATCTGAGTATCAGACAGAACAAGAAATATTCAGCCTAGGTTCACACTTGTGCAGATCGCATCGCATTCCTGTGCAAATCACGTGCGATTTGTGTGCGGTGTGATTGGAGCAATACATTATGTATGGCTCAAAACGCACCGCACCTGCACCAAAAAGGTGCAGGAGCCTTTTTTGGCTCCACACTAGAATCAGATCACATGGGTATTCACACCTATATGATCCGATTCTGCACATCGCACCGTGTTTTGCAGACCAATTTCAGGGGGTTTTTAACTTAACATACACACCCGCATCGGTTCGCATGAACGGGGTGCGATTCTGATGGTGGGCAGAATTCGCACAGAAAACGCTACAAATTCCGGCTCAAATTGTGACACACCTCATTTTTATAGTAATGATAGGCTTTTGTTTTACTTTAACCTTTTTTTCTTTCAAAATTCATTAAATAAATATTAAAGCTGTGCACATTACTTATTCCAAAGATTCCTGTATGGAGATTTGACACAATCAAAGAACAGGGTTCAATCCTACTGGATTGAACTTTCACTATAAGAAGTGCATATGTTTAAGACCCTCTGAATTGCTTCCTTTGTGTGAAATCCCTGATGTTCCTGCCAGTCCCTCTGCATTCCTATTAAAAACTGACCACACTAGGCATTAGAACACAGCGTGGTCAGTTCACTGGGAGCTCAACCTGCTATCCTCCAGTGATTAGTTTTGGCTTGACATGCTTTCAGCCGTTCACTGTGAAGTTCAGTGTCCGGCTGTTTCTCCTCCCCCAACTTTCTGTGCTGCTGAGAGAGAGAGGGTATGTGATCACTTATTTAAAAAGGGGTATTAATAATATTTTTTTACATCTATGCACAAATGTTCTTGCTTTCATTTCTATTTCAAACTGAATGGGCTGTTTTACGAGGTGAGGGTTTACACATAATTTAACCAGTCCCAACTCTATCCAAAACTTAAAGGTTAAAAAAAATATCAAGGTCTACATTTCCTCACTGTTATATCATCATTTTCTTGCAGGTTCTGCAAAGGAAAGAGAGGTTTTTGAAAAAGCGAGAAAGATAGTAGAGCCACCCAAATTAGCATTTGCTCGAATGGCTGTGCGCGAATCTGCTTTTGCTGCTACAGCCGCTGATGAAGCTGCTCCCGTCAAACCTTCATTTTCTGGTAGTTTTAAAAAGGCCCCGGAAACACAAGTTGGTCAAGACCTGCCACTCACCTTGACGCTCAAAAACACCGTGAGTGACCCCCAGAAGATTGAGACAAAAATGACAGCCACCGCCATTATATACAACAGTAAACCAGTTAAATCTTTTCTTACTGAAACCCACTCTGTTTCACTAGGACCTAACGAAGGTAGGTACAATCTACGTATGACCATGTATGTATGTATAGATTCATAAACCATAAATATTGCATACAGGGATTTTTTTATTTTTTTTGCTAAAGAATACATACAGCAGGGGTGCTCAACCGGTGGCCCTCAGAGCCCTCTAAAGTGGCCCTCCAACTCAAACTGAATGCAGGTTTTTTTATGCATTTTCAGCACACCAGTAAGATATAATAGAAGTTTTTGGTAAAGAGCAGATAACCCGCAAGAAAGTCACAGGTGCAATGCACTGCACCCGCGGTGTGGATAAACTGCAGGGTATCAGTGTGAAAGCAGCCTTATAAGGGGTTGAGATATGTTTTTGCCACACACCCCCAACCACTGGTGTAGCATCAGGTGTCGCAATGGCAACTCATGCTCCAGGGGGCCCATGTGGCCTCCCTGTCACATTCTGTTTTACACTTGGACAGGAGGGGTGGCGGGGGTGACTTATACAGGAACCAATCCTCTCCATTTTTCTCCTGCAACCGCTGAAAGTCGGCTTTCCCTCTTCCCTTCAAAATTCAGAACCATTTCATTTCATTGTGGCCCACGACCAGTTACCAAATCACTTAACCACTTCAAGTTCGGACACTTTTACCTCCTTCCTGTCCAGGCCAATTTTCAGCTTTCAGTGCTATCACACTTTGAATGAAAATTGTGCGGTCATGCAACACTGTACCCATATGAATTTTTTAGCATTTTTTGAGACAGATAAAACTTTGCTTTGGTGGTATTTATTCACCACCGGATTTTTTTTTTTTTTGCTATATAAAGGAAAAGGTCCAAAAATTTTGAAAAAAAAAAAGTGTTTTTCTTATACAATTTTGCAAATAAATAATCTCTTTCTTCATAAATCTTGGCCAAAATGTATTCGGCTATCTTTTTAGTAAAAAAAAAAAAAACCCAAATTAGTTTATAACCAAAAATTATAATTTTTAAAACTTTTTTTACATTTTTATTTTTTTTTTTATATTATTATTATTTATGTTTTGTTTTGTTTTTTAACATACCGTCACCCTAGCAGTACAGTGTCACTATAGTGACACTGTACTACTTGTGGGGGTGATGAAGATTTTTTTTTTTTTTTTACACCGATTGCTTTTACACCCATAAAGGCTGTAAAAGCAATAATTTCTATTTCTCTCTGGCTGCATTCTTGCAGCCATTGAGAAATACTGTGAGAGCTGTGATTGGTCACAGCTTGTCACATGGTACAAGGCTGTTGTGAATAGCCTTGTACCATGTGACCTCTGTGATCATTCACAGATTTTACTAGGAGTAAGCAATAATGTCAGAAAGTGACATCTTGTTTACTACTATTCATGTGATCACTGATTGGCCAATCAGTGATCACATGATCGGGACCTCACACAGAGGTCCCGTACAGCTATCGGTGTTCTGCTGTGTCCTCCGGGCACCGGATCGTGGTGCTGCATGCTCCAAGGGACACTGCACAGGCAGTGAATGTGGGGGCCATTTATAAATGGCAACCTGCTTCAGCACTGCTCCAGTCCGGTCGTTTATGTAGATGGGCCGGACGGGAAGTGGTTAAGTGGCCCTTGCTCTTCAGAAGGTTGAGCACCTATGGCATACAGGGGTTTCTTTAATAAAGCTACAAAATATTGACCAAACACAAAATATAAAAATAAACAAATAAAGAAAAATTAAACAGCATATATAAATGTGCTTCTCCACTGTGAAAATCTAGTGTGCACCAAAATATATAGTATAATACAGATCGCCAGCCTGCAGCTCAGAACCCATGATGGTCGCAGGATGATGTCACACCTGAAGCTCTGCCCCCCCTATACGCGTTACGTCCAAGGCGGGGACTTCTTCAGTAGGAGTACAAGTCACTGCTTTGGACGTAATGCGTATAGGGGGGCAGAGCTTCGGGTGTGACATCATCCTGCGACCATCTTGGGTTCTGAGCTATATGCCGGCGATCTGTATTTTACACATGTATAGGGGGCAGAGCTTCTGGTGTGACATCATCCCGTCGCGATCTTGGGTTCTGAGCTATATGTCGACGATCTGTATTTTACACGTGTATACTAGTTAGCACTGGCGGCAGGGCTTGGAGGAGGACTTAACAAAAGACAGAAACAATAGGTTACTCAATTAACAATGGAGCAAAGAAACAATAGTAAACATCACACCATATTAAACAGAATACAGCAAGAGACCTCAGCATCAGGTTGTTTTGAGCTGATTATATTAACATCTGCTCTAAGTCGAGGAGGGGGGTTAAAGCAGTCAATGATGGTTTTGGCATAAAGGCCCCAAATCTGTATCTGGGTCCTACAGTTCTCGCAGAAACAGATCAAAGGCAAACTGCATAGGTGTGAACCTGGCCTAAGACCGAGTAGTGAGCAATCAACACAGTGACCACTCAGTTCTCGGTCTTCAGGCTGCAGAGAGCTCATGACTGTCAGTCACCATTTCTCTGATCTGCCCCTCCAGCACTCACTGGTGCTCCAAGCTGTGGAGAGGCTGGCTCAGGCTCTCTGCGGATTGCTGTGAAGCTGAGCCAGCTGCCGGTCACCAAAGGTTCCAAAGGTGAACTTAGCCTTTAGCATTTTTTGTGTAGGAAGGAGACACTCTTAAGGTGCATTTTTACAGATGATTGGAGTTCTGCTTTTAAAATAAAGGCTAGGTGTGCTTCTCAATGCATAGAATGTAACTAACTATTAATGTTTACATTTATTTAAGTACGAACGCTGTAAAATGTTAATTCAGAGATATCTGGTTGCCTTAGGACAAGGGTCTCCAAACTATGGCCAGGGGGCCGGATGTGGCCCTTTGCTTAACTTTATCCAGCATTTGGTCCATTATTCCTTTCATTGACACCAACAATGGGGAACTATTTCTCCCACTGACACCAAAGATGGGGTACTTTTCTTCCCTCAGAAACCAACAATGCTACACTATTCCACTGACACTAATGATAGGACATGATTCCTTCCAATGATATCAATGATGGGGCACTATTCCTCCTACTGACACCAACAATGGGGCACATTACTCCCACTGACACCAATAATAGGGCACTATTCCTCCCTCAGAAACCAACAATGCTGCACTATTCCACTAACACTAATGATAGGGCACTATTCCTTCCAGTGATACCAATGATGGGGCACTATCCCCCCCCTCTCCCCCCAATACCAATGATGGCGCATTGTATATTCTCAATGATCTCAGGACATTTTTCTATGCCAGTTGGCCACAGTCTGGCCCCCCTAAAGTCTGAAGGAGAGTAAACTGGCCATTTGTTTAGAAAGTTTGGAGACCCCCTGGTCTAGGGGATCAGGAATGAAGCATGTTGTAGAAAAAATTAAACCATGCTTTATATGGGTCCTTACCCTACCTCTTGATGAACTTTGGGATTGGGGTTTTTTTTTGGATACAGTTTTATCCTGATTAACCTGCACTTTTTTAGCCTAAATGTGTAACCACATTTTGTTATGCTTTGTTGCAGTTTCATGACCTTTCTTTATGCACTTATTTTCCAGAGAAAAGCATTGAGATGAATTTACCATATGTTACATATAGAGATGCTATAACTGCAGACAACATGATTCAAGTTGTAGCTGTGTGTACGGATGCAAATGGAGGCAACCTGTTGGTACAAATAGTGATTACACTGAAAAATCCAGCACTGCTGTTGAGGGTAAGACTCACAATCCAATGTCCAGATTCAATGTACTACACTCCAATACACTACACTGGAGTCACAATCCAATGTATTACACTCCAATACACTACACTGGAGTCACAATCCAATGTACTACACTCCAATACACTACACTGGAGTCACAATCCAATGTACTACACTCCAATACACTACACTGGAGTCACAATCCAATGTACTACACTCCAATACACTACACTGGGGTCACAATCCAATGTACTACACTCCAATACACTACACTGGGGTCACAATACAATGTACTATACATTCCAATACACTTCACTGGAGTCACAATCCAATGTACTACACTCCAATACAGTACACTGGAGTCACATTCCAATGTACTACACTCCAATACACTACACTGGCAGTCACATTCCAATGTACTACACTCCAATACACTGCACTGGAGTCACAATCCAATGTATTACACTCCATTACACTACACTAGTCACAATCCAATGTACTACACTCCAATACACTACACTGGAGTCACAATCCAATGTACTACACTCCAATACACTACACTGGAGTCACAATTCCAAAGTGCTACACTCCAATCCACTCTACTGGAGTCACACAATGTGCTACACTCCAATACACTACACTGGAGTCACAATCCAATGTATTACACTCCAATACACTACACTGGGTCACAAGCAAATGTACTACTACACTCCAATACACTACAATGGGGTCACATTCCAATGTACTATATTCCAATACACTTCACTGGAGTCACAATCCAATGTACTACACTCCAATACACTACAATGGGGTCACAATCCAATGTACTACACTCCAATACACTACACTGGAGTCACAATCCAATGTATTACACTCTAATATACTACACTGGAGTCACAATCCAATGTACTACACTCCAATACACTACACTGGAGTCACAATCCAATGTACTACACTCCAATACACTACACTGGGGTCACAATCCAATGTACTACACTTCAATACACTACACTGGAGTCACAATCCAATGGCTACACTCCAATACACTACACTGGAGTCACAATCCATGTACACTCCAATGCACTACACTGGAGTCACATTCCAATGTGCTACACTCCAGTGGAGACACAATCCAATTTACTACTACAGGAGTCACATCCCAATGTATTACACACCAATACACTACACTGGAGTCACAATCCAATGTACTACATTACAATACACTACACTGGAGTCACAATCCAATGTACTACACTCCAATACACTACACTGGAGTCACAATCCAATGTACTACACTCCAATACACTACACTGGAGTCACAATCCAATGTACTACACTCCAATCTCCAGAGTACAATAAGGGTCTATTCACAAACTGGAGGTATGGCCATACCACTGCTTAAAAAAAACATCCACACATTTATAAATTGGAAGTGTGCTATACAACAGTGCATTGCACTCCTCTTGCTCCTGACTTATGCAATATTAATGAACAGAAAAAGAAGAAAGAAAAAAGTCAGCAGGAGAGAGCAGTCACATGCCCCGGTATTCACATGATCAGCTCTTCTCTAATTACGGAGTTTACTCTGTTGCAAAGGATCCCATAGGGTGCATACCAAGACCCACATTTTATGAATGGGGTGATGCAGTAAGCAGTCTGCGAAGTATAATGGAGGCAGATAGCTATATGGAGGTCAGCTCTCTTATATAAATGAGCCTCTTAATTTGCATAAGATTCCATAGGGTGCATACCACAACCCACATTTCATGGATGGGACTCCAAAGCATGCAATCTGTGAAGTACACCAGAAATTACATATTCATATCAGTTGTCTCTTACAAAAAAGCCTATTCGTTGTGAAGTTATTGTGAAGAAGGAAGGAAGAGGCACCATATCCACCTATTTAACAAAAGTATAAGTAAACATTAATTTTCAATATTTTTTATATCTGCAGCTTTCATTAAAGTAATATCTGTGATCCTGCAATGAATGTCCATGTTTAGGCACTTCCTGTTATCGGTGCCATATTACCAAATAGGCAGAGTAGGCACTGGCCTATGGGCCACACACTATTTAAGCACCCCACAACAAAGGATCAATTTATATTGATATGATCTTGAAAGAAAAAAATCAGGTCTGCCTGAAAAATGGAGAGGCAGACATGATCAGACCGCTAGTCTGAAAGGGGCCTACGTCTGATATTTTTCAACTTACTTCAACAGGCTAAGCTGTCCAGACAAAGTAGCAGTTAGAGGATTGTGAAAAACCATTTTAACACAGACAAGGGTACCTAGAGTGGTCAGCATTTAATCATTTATGTAAAACCTTTATCCCAAAAGGAAAAAAAAACTGTTGCTGTACCTGCTTAGAAAGTGTTAGCTGGAATTCAACTTTAATTTTTAGTGTATCTAAACCTGCTAGTACATCTAACACTACCCCCTCCCCAAACTGACAATGTTGCAGTTCAAATGTGTCTGCTTTACTACATCATCCAGAATGCAGACATGCTAAGAAAGGAAATGTGTTGCTGGCTGGATCACCAGGTAAAAACAGAGGGTAAAAAGCCTAAAAATAGAAAACTATTGCAGCCACCACATCTAAGGATAATAAACTGTAATGTATTACATTTTTGTTTTTGGGTTTAATACAACTGTAACTGTCATTCAGTTAGGGTTAGCCTTACTTTAAAATATGTTGCCATGTAAAAGAAAATACAAAATGTTCCCTGTAATAGAAACACTTTAATACTACCTGCCCATACCGCCACCTAAAAAATCCTAAGCACTGAGACCCGGTTCACACCAGGTGCAACTTTGAAGTCGCACTACTTCAGTGCAATTTCAGAACTATAAATCTGTATGACTTCATGTGCGGCTTGGTCGACATATGTGCGACTTCATACACAAATGTTAATGCAAGTCGCACATGAAATCACACAAATATAGTGCAGGAACCTTTTTCCATGTTGCACTAATTTGAACGGTTCCATGGTGGCAAATAGGGTGCGACTTGTCATGCGACTTTTATCTGACAAGGTTTACCTGGTATGAACGGGAGTTCAAAGACACTTACAAGTGTGTCGGAGGACTGGTTCCCTGCTGCCTTGTTTTCTAGTGTCCTGCAGTGAAAGGAAACGTAACAGGTTCTCATGATAACTCCCCCCATCCCCGCTGAGAGAGGAGGTCATTAACTCTGTGCAAACTCCAATACAGACCAACATAGGGCTTAGAGTGGGATTAGATCATATAGAGTGGACATTCCCAACCAGGGTTCCTCCAGAGGTAGCTAGGGGCAGGGGCGCACTGACCATTTGGAAACTCGGGCACTGCCCGAGGGCCCGGGGTCAGTAGGGGGCCCCATGAGATGCCCCTGGTAGCTTTTTCATAGGCTTTTTTGAGTTTGGGCAAGGACACAGGGCCCCATGATCCCCTATTGCCCCGGGGCCCCATGAGTTGTCAGTCCACCCCTGGCAAGGGGTTTCTTGAGCTGCAGCAGATTGACCTCCCATTTCATAGTGCCTGCATAGTTGTGGGGCCTATACCACTGCATGACACTAATTACCTTTTTAGTTCTTTGTAGAGATAGAATTTCTACCATCTGTAAAGGTGGTATTTTGACCACCACTTTAAGGGTGGCATTCTTTACATTCTTTGGTTTTAGCAGGGACCTGAAAATTTTTCTAAGGGTTCCTCTGAAGTAAAAAGTTGGAGACAGCGACTACGTTGAACTGGTTGAGTTATTCAGAATTTTTTTTTTTCATGATTTCTGCGGGTAAATGGTGGTGTTTGCCTCCCTTTGGAGGAATGGGCTGTTATCTTACTGGTACGACAGATACAGTTTTGGTTCAGTGACAGTGGTATTTGGATAGAGAGGGAGGAGCGCCCAGTGTCCAGAATAATATCACACTGGATGGAAAAGTTAACAATCTTTTACTGAAAATAATGGAAGAAAAGGTTGAGAAAGACTGATACAGAGTATTTAAACCCAAATACGTAATATGCTGCAGCTTACCATTCCTTAGATGTGGTGGCTGCTTTGGTTTTTCTTTTATTTAGGCTTTTTTTCTCATTTTCCCCAGGTGACCCTGCCAGCAATACACTTCCTGTCCTAAGGTGACAACAGCAGCATTGTCACCCTAGCACAGGACTATGATAACGACCCCTTCTCCCCATCTACATTACAGAGAGGGAAGGGGTACCGTAGTCCACAGAGAGAGGTGGCAACAATGATTACTCATAAGGGCTCATTCAGACATGCATTGAAATTTTAGATACCATGGACACCTATTGATGCACCAATCATGTTACTATGCATTACTGATGCATTTTGCACACATTTTGATGTATTTGGGTCATATTAAATAATGCTTTCAAGGTGCCTCCTTTGTCTTGGTTTTCTTTGGATAAATTATTTTACTATGTTGCACTACCCCCTTGGGATTCGCTGAAGTTTGGGTCCCCCTATAGTTCTGAACAGCCAGGCAACACACATTTCCTTCACTCACACTTGGAACCAGGAGACAGTAACCAGTCCTTGAGTGTGTTTTGAAGTTTTATTAGGGGATGTAACTTGGATGGGGTAAGGCGGGTATGGGTCAAGGATCAAACAGAGGACAAATGCCTTAGCAATTATGTACAGCAGAAATTATTTACAGCAGATATTCTTCTGGAGAGCTAGCCAGTATCTCCTGTTGTACCACCTCAGATGACTCCTCTCCTCATTCAGCTGTACTGGGTGAATCCCTGGGCAGGGAATCCAGTGCCTGCCACTGCAGTGTTAAACAGTCCTGGATAAGAGAGCTAATCCAGTTTCCCACCAGAGTGCCTCTTTCCCCTTACTGGCCAATGGGGTGCAGGTCTACTCACTCAGTCCTTCTCCTTTGCTGCTAGTGGGTCGGTGATTGCTACCAGGCCTTCTAGCTGGGCTGCTCCTTTCCTGCTGCACAGGTGGTCCTCGCTCTGTGGGCCAGTGAAGTCCCAAGCTTTCCTCCTTCCAAGATCCTCTGCCTGTAGGTTAACCCCTCTCCATTTGGGCCTCCTCCCAAGCTCCTGCTCTCCAGCCTCACATCTTCCACTCAAACGTTCCTGCTGCTGAGCAGGCTCAGTCACTTTTAAGAACTGTCCTGGCCCCATGCTAAGCCTCCTGTGGGGAATTGGCCAGGATCCCTCAAAAGTGCAGCTCAGCCACTCCTCACCTCCGCCTGCAGCTTCTAGAACTTTCTCCAAAGTTCTAGTGCAGAGGGAAGTCTCAGAGAGCTGATCTGTAGAGCCTCTCAGCTCTACTCAGCCCCTAACAAACAACTGAACCTAGAGCTCCCCCTAGTTGACTAGGAGGGTGCTACAACTATCATTTTAGTAATGCTTTCTAAACACATCTCAAAAGCACTGTAAATGCCATAGGGGCGTTTGTGGTGCATTTGCAAAGTGTTTACATTGACATAAATGGAGGCATTTGGTGATAGGTAAAGTCAGCCAAACACTACTTGTCAAATAAACTTTAGTGTGACACAAAGCAATGTTGTTACGTATTCTGTATATAGACCTACAGAACAGACAGTGCGCAGTCCACATGTGTTTATCTGCTGCTACTCTGCTAACAGGAAACAGGAACTTTGTTATAGAGAAAGGGCATAGGGTTTACAGAACCATAGATGTAGCTACAAACTTTTAAACACTACCATCTACTGACTGTTGAATATACTGTATCTCTACTGAAGACTAATATTGATACTGATGTACAGTAGTTGTCGCACAGAATACATGAACGCTGTATTCCAACAATTGTAAATGCAACCATGTGAACAACACTGCCCGTTTCAAAGCACATAACTGATACAGAGCATTTTCAGGCATTCGTGAAGCTTCAGAAATGCAAATGAAACGCCTGCTGTTGACGCTAGTGTAAACTTAACCTAAGGGCTCATGTACAGCGTTTTTTTTTCAGCAAACTCTGAACTCTCCCTAATGTTTCCCTATGTGTCCATGTACACATAGTCATTTACAGTCGTTTACAGGCAGTTGAGTTTACAGTAATTTTTTTTTAATGCACCAAACTCGCGTTCAGGAGAAGATTTTACCGGCGTTTCAAACGCCATATGCTTGTGAATGCGTGTAAACGCTTGTAAACGCGGTTGACCGCGTTTAGAAGCCTTTGCATTTAGAAGCAGTTTTTAACTGTTCCTTGTCCAGATGCTGTCCAGAGCCTTTTTTTCATCATCAGAAATGCATGCAAAGCGTTTCCATGTATTCAAATGGACCCGGTACACCAGCGCAGTCAGTTCCAGGTTTCGCGTGAAGGATAAAATGGCAGAACGTGCCGCATTATGCTCATGATGGAATCCATAGTGAATACAACCAGAAAAGACAGGTAATCTCAACACATACTGCTCTCTCTGCTTCTGCTCTCTCTATTCCTCCCAAAATGTCTGAAATAGTTAATTTTGTATTATTTTTCAGTGCATTCTGGGCATTTGGGAAGGTTTCCATTTTACAAATGCTTCTAAGCACAAACGCGCATAAACGTGGTATGCAAACGCAGCTAAACTGATGGTTTTTAACCTATGTTTTCCAGCAGTCAGTTTCCGTGGTTCAGAAGAGTTTTCCAAACGCCCCGTGTACATGAGCCCTGAGTGTATAGCACAGGTAGAAATTCACAAAGTTACCAGTTCACAAGATTTTGTCAGGATCACCTTATAGAACAGATATAACAAAAAGCTTTGAATGGTGATATTAACAGATAAAAAGGAAGCAAATAAGAGCAGTTCACTATTAGGGTTTACATTTACACTTTCATTTATACATATTATTTGTATACTAAAATTACTACTACCACCGAGACAATCCGTACTACTATAATAATATTGATAATACTGATTGTATATTTATTTTATTCATAGGCTATTGATGAGATCAAATTAAACAAAATGTGTCGTGTGGATGCTATATTTACTAATCCAATCAAAGAAGTTGTCCCAAACAGTGTTTTGATTGTAGAGGGGAGTGGCCTTTTGCGCGACCAAGTCATCGTAAAGTAAGTATAAATATTATTTAGAAAATGGTAAAAAAAAAGCAATATTATAGCATTAAGAAGTCTTTTTTGCTATCTTGACCAATGCTAGGCATGGAAGGCATTTTAGCCTGTACTGATTGGACAGGACAATTTCCTGACATGTCCTAAAAAAAAAAAATTGGTCTAGCATATGCAGAATTGGTTTTTTTTCAGTTTAAAGAATTTGTAATGCTGTTCGGCCAGTTTTTTTGCACTACACACCTTTGCTGTACGGAAGATGGTTCCATCTTCTGGTTCAAATTTACAGCACTCCTGCTCACTGGACAAATGAATTAGCATTTGGTGACGCTGGAGGCTATAAAAGAGGTCACAAGACTGGTTGGGCAGAATTGCAAATCCTTTCACCAGAAAACTGATTAAAATCTAAGTATAAAGTGGAATTCCAACTAAAACTAAACTTTAGACAAAGTAAAGAGAGGTTAGGGGCTGTGTGCCTCCTACCTGGGGAGATTACTTATTACTTCTTGTCCTAGAGACACAACAGGAAGTAGGAAGAAATCTCCCCAAAATCAAGGAGAGTTTCCAAAAAGTGAAAGTTGTCAACAGAACAGATTTCCTCTTATCACCAGGTGACAACTGTAACATTTCAGATATCTCCACATTTTGTCCCAGTGACAGTGGTCATCAAGACAAGTATGGAGTCCTCCCAGATAAAGAAATACAAACCTGACATTGCCTCTAACCTTTCCCAACTTACTTCAAAAACAAATTGCTGTAGTGCCACCAGGGGTGCACTGACTGACATCGCAATATGTTTTGAATTTTTGAATCTAGCTAACCATCATTTCATCTGCCTGCCTATCTGTATATCTATATCAGTGGTCTCTAAGCTGTGGCCCAAGGGCCAGATGCAGCCCCTGCATCTTTCTATCTGGCCCTTGGGGTACTATTTCTTCCACTGATACCAACAATGGGAAATAACTGCCCCCCCCCCACACACACACACACACACAATGAAGGGGCACAATTCCTCCCACTGACACCTGCAATGGCATCCATTTACACCAATGATGAGGCACAATTCCTAAGGACACCAACATTGGGACCCAAAGACACCAATGATAATGCACAACAATTCCTCCCACTGACACCAAGAATGGGGCACAATTCCTCCCACTACTACAAACAATGGGGGACTATTCGTCCCACTGACACCAACAATGGGGCATTGTTTATTCCCACTGACATCAGGACCTTTTTTTCCCCCAATGGGCAGAGTCTAGCCCCCCTTAAGTCTGAAGAACATTAAACTGGCCCTTTGTATAAAAAGTTTGGAAACCTTTGATCTACATAAATAGTTACATACTTCCCATAACTTACTAATAAACATCTTTTTCTTTCCAGTGTACCAAGTCTAAATCCAAATCAGAGAGCTACAATTCAGATTGAGGTATGTCCACACAGATTAGGTGACCGAAGTCTCCTAGCGGATTTTTCCTCCAAGTTGTTTCAAAATGCTAAGGGATTTCAAACACTTTCAGTGGCTTCATCATAAAAAGCCACACCTGCCTGAGGGAAGAGAAAAGAAACCATGTTTAGAAGCCTCGTTTGTTCTTCGTGCATGAAGACATCACCATGCAAAATTATTTTTTTTTTTGCAATTCGCATTTATTTCCAAAGAAAAACATTGTATCTTTGATTTAAAAGTAAAAATGTTGCAAGTTATGTGAATGATAACAGGAAAGTATTGGAATGTCCCAAATCTTTTTTCAGTTTATTTTTTATTGCCTGTGTTTTGTTGTAAAGGAAGTAAAATTAAATCTCTACAAAGTGAATGAAATTCCTGCTTAGACAATTTTCATCAGATGAGATATCCCTGTTGGAATATTTCTAGCCATCTACTTTAAAGACAGCCAAAGAATCGCTCAATTTTCCCATCAACACAGTCGGTGGAGCTATTGTGTTCTCCCGGCAGTGATGGCTCCTCGTGAACAGAGTGAATACTGCTAGCGACTATAATAGCCGCTAGCAATAATCGCAAGTAAAATCTGACAGGCTGGTTATACCAAAGTTGATCGATCAGTCAATTTGGGCACATTCAGTCTGTAAAACATGGTTTGAATCGCATCTGGTGCTGGCCATGATTTGAACCGCCTGTGGCCTGCGTAACATATTGGATTTCCTATCACATTTTGCACTGGTGACAATGATCAAAAATAGAGAAGGGGAATCTCCCCGGGGGGGGGGGGACGCAGTTTTGATAGGGTTCTAATCCTTCCCCTTTCCATACAAAATTTAAAAAATTAGCTAAAGGTAGAACTTGATTTGTTATATTTTCTGATGACTTACTGGTTAACAAACTCTGTTTTATTTTCTGGGGTTATTATGTTCAGTCCCTAGTTTTTTTTGGGGGGGTTCCCTCATACCCTTTCCCTCCTCCGTGGGCCTCCTTTCGCTCCCTTCTTCCCCATTGTTACTTGTAATTATCTCATCTCAAAGAAGAATGCATATCAGGAAGATCCTACAGTTGACATATGGACTTTTTTTTTACATTTATCATTTTTATTTTGCTCTTTAGCAAAGCACATGGTACAATCAACAGAAAATGACCTTCATGATAGAAGGGCCAAATAAACAGACACATATCATGATACAATGGGGTTTATTTACTAAAGCTGGAGAGTCCAAAATCAGACTCCCTTCTGCATAGAAACCAATCAGCTTCCAGGTTTCATTGCCAAAGCTTCATTGAACAAGCTGAGGTTAGAAGCTGATTGGTTTCTATGCAGAAGGGAGTCTGATTTTGGACTCTCCAGCTTTAGTAAATAAACCCCAATGTGTCTAAAGGAAATTAAAGCTGGCCATAGATGGTGTGAATCGCTCAATTCCCCCATCAACGCAGTCAGTGTTGATGGGGGAATCCCTCCTGCTGAGACATTGTGTTCTCTGTGGTGGGGCGTGGGGAGCTGTCCCTGCCAGAAGCTGCCCCTGCCATGTAGTGATTATTGCTAGTGGCTAAAGCAGCTGCCAATAATCGCATGAACAATCCGACATGCTGATTGTACTCAAGTTGGATGATCGATCGATCTACTTGGGTGCAATCAGTCTACCCATAGATGGTTCAAATCTGAGTTGGTCCCTGCTGAACTGGTCAAGATTTGAACCATCTATGGCTGCCTTAAGTCCAGAACAAAAACAGAGATACACTGTACTAGTGAAGCCCCTGTAAAGTCATATTCCTGAACACTCATACTTGGTATGTAGGTAAGGTTCCTAACATTTGGACTTTTATTGCTTCTTGAGCAGACCATTTTTTTAGCTTTCTTCTAATTGTTGCTTACCAGCAGATGCTATACTTTGCCAATGTTCTGCTTCATTGTATCTTGATCTACTCTGAGCATTATTGTCCTTGTTGAAATGACATTGTAAGCTTGTGCCTTTGTTAAACTTTGTAAAATTGAATAAAAATACAATTATTAAAAAAAAAAAAAGTTTGGGCTGTACATATACTTCAGGTATACCATGCAAACAGAACACTCAGGATAAAATAAATATTATCATCCAGTTAAAGTGGTTGTAAATGCTTATATATACCCAGTGAAGTGACTGGCCTTAGATGATGCACAGAGATGAAAAAATCATCCTACATATGCTGTACCTGTATATCTGGAGCAACCTCTTATATATCTCCTTTCAAAATGCTGAATTTAAAAAACTTGTCTTAAAAAGATTAACTGTCATAAAAATAAAAATGGGGGCGGAGAACTGTAGTTTCACTCTCGGAGCTCTTAGAGCTGATTGGTGAAAAAAGACGAGACGCACCCCCCCCCCCCCCACCTCCACACAGCTCTCAGGAAGAGAGTTGAGGCTGTCAATCTGCTAGAGGTCACCATTTTTTCTCTTGGTGTCAGGAAAACTTGTCAGAATACAGAATAGCAAAGGAACGAAGCAGCAAACAGAAATGACACTTAGTGCTCTTAATTGAAACAAGAACACACTATAGACAGCTATGTTTTGTTCATATTTCATGTCTGAGGTTTCCAACCACTTTAAAAAATACAATATATACATAGCAAAAGAGCTACTCTACTGGGCTACTGTATGCCCATTGTAATACAAGTTGTCTTGTATATTTGTCAGAGATTGAACAATTTTCTGTATGTAGATTTTGTACAATAAAGTAAATTCATTCCCAAATCAATTGTTAAATGTAAATGAAATCTTTTGAACAACATTGGAATTTTTTGAGAATGTTCTAGGATTTTTCATATGAAGATTTTTTTCTAAGAATTTTCATTCAAAATTCCATCCATCTATGGCCAGCATTATCATTTCTTGTTGTTACCCAAGCCCTACTCCATAGAAGCCATTATTTCCATGCACTGCTGTTGGCCAGCAAGCCTGCAATATCTTTAAGTAGTTTGGAACAAATAGCTTTATAATATTAGGCTGTGTTTGTGGATTCATAGCTGGTCAAGGGACACAAATATGGCTCTACCTACTATCTTAAAATGAGGAATAAACTCCTTATGTTTTTATTTCCGAAACATTGAAATACTGTACCTTCTGTTTTAAGAAGGGTCTCCTGGGACGATTTGACAAAAAGTTGATGAATACCATTTAAATAATATTTAACCATACTCTTCTTAAAAGTATTTTCGGAAACAAACAATAATATAGTTTATGCCCATTTAATGCAACATCCAAATTTAACAGCTCAGTCTTTTTGACCATTTCCTCTTTAATTGTTCTTTGTGCCAGATGATTATTTCTCCTAATAAATTGTGTCAAAAATGAACACCTGCAGACAAAAAAAATTGAATGCCCCATTTGATTTGTTGTCAGTGATTGTTTTTTACCAAAAATTTTGCATTGGCATTCTTGTAATGTTCTTAGAAAATGTTTTAATTATTCAGAAAGTATTTGGATAACCTTCCCAGGATCACCCTGTCTATGGGCCCTGCTGTTTACTCAGGGTGGAATTAAAGAGGAACATCTCCCCCTATTTAAATTTTTTTTCCATCCCATCTTACCTTTTTAGCTGAGTTATCCTTAACAAATGTACCCACATGTCTGGCATATCCAGCTTGTTTCTGTTGTGATTCTCCACTGCTGCACAGCTCAGTGTACATTCTCAGCACTCATTGGTACCAGAACGAATAAACTTCTGGATGCATTTGAGGAGTTATGTCATTCTGGCCCATCCAATCAAGATGGTCAAAGAACCCAAACTGAAAGAAGAATGGATGAAAATGTCAGAGGTGGCAGAGGGAAGTGAGTTTATCTATGCTTTAAAAGAGAAGCATGGCCAAACCTTTTTTGGCTATACTTATCTTTTGGATCACAGGAATACGTTTGCTAATGTTCTCCAGTGACCCAGACTCAGTCCAGACCACTCAAAAAACAATAACCAAAAAATTAGTCTGTTTTCTGTTTTCCTTTAAACCTGGACCTAGTCAACCCTGTTCTATTGTAGGCAGGTACAGTTAGTCTTCCTACTTGTAGGTATTGCATGGGAAGAAGGGGTCTTGTAGGCAAATTGATCCCTTGAAGATTCCATCCAGTTCCTTAAGAGGAGAAGTTGTCTGATTGGACACAACTTTTTGTAGACTTGGCAGCCATCTTGGGTGAGTAAACCTTTTAAATAGGGGAACTCACATCACTTTGACACATTTTTGGCAGTGGTTGTACGGGGACACAAGAACGCACTTGCAAGGGACAGTGTCCAGCATAGGAAAAGGTTCCATTCAAGCGGGGAGAGTTCAGGGAAGGCTTCCTTATCAGTAGTCTTAACCTGGTGGCTGGTCCTGTAGCATGGAGCTAGTGTAGATTGCTGAAATCACTCCATCAGTATTCTGCCAAGGAACACTACCCCAGGTAACTGAAGATGTCCTCCAGAAATGCATTATGACATTCAGTATACTGAAGCTGATTATTCACTGTACTATTGTATTGTAAGTACCAAAGACTGATTGATCTGTTGTATGACGCAGTCTGCTACAAATTGATATAAAATACCTCAATACAGTTCTAGATTTCAATAAAGTTCAAACTAAAGCCCCACACTACTGCTAAGAGGTCCAGATACAGTGGATATTAAGTCTACACACCCCTGTTAAAATGTCAGGTTTCTGTGATGTAAAAAAAATGACAAAGGTAAATAATTTCAGAACTTTTTCCACCTTTAATGTAACCTATAAACCATTTAGGTGGAGGGAAGTAAAAATAAAAAACTAAAATAATATGGTGTACACACCCTTAAACTAATGCTTTGTTGAAGCACCCTTTGATTTTATTACAGCACTCAGTCTTTTTGGGTATGATCTTGGCTTGGCAATATTTGCCCACTCTTCCTTGCAAAAACACTCCAAATCAGTCAGATTGCGAGGGCATCTCCTGTGCACAGCCCTCTTCAGATCAACCCACAGATTTTCCATCAGATTCAGGTCTGGGCTCTGGCTGGGCCATTCCAAAACTTTAATCTTCTTCTAGTGAAGCCATTCCTTTGTTGATTTGGATATATGCTTTGGGTCTTTGTCATGCTGAAAGATGAAG